CCTTGGAGCGCTTCCTCTCCAAATGAAACTTACGGCCTTCATCTTCTTTCAATACCAAGATCTATAAAGTCTGACATTCAAGTCAGTGGCACTGCCATGGGAGCTGAGAGTGACAGTGCTCCTATCTCCAAAACCTGTTACACTTTGTTCTAAACCAGATTCCAGGAAGGTCGGAGTGAGAAGTAACATCGTAAAAGGCCCCAGACCCAGCACCCCCAGGAAAGGGGACAGGAGCAGAGCCCTCTTAATTAAACGTAGGCTAACTCTAAAAGGTTTTATATGGCTCTGTGCTATAAGTTGTATGACCTCACTAGGTGCAGATTTATAAGACCCTTTCTTTTTGTGTGCAGTGTTATTAGAAGAATTCTTGGCCTGGGCATGGTGGCTCATGGGCCAGGCACACTGGCTCATGCCTGTAATCCCAGCACCTTGGGAGACTGAGGCAAAATTGCTTGAGCCCCAGAGTTTGAGAGCAGCCTGGGCAGCTGGTGAAACCCCATCTCTACAAAAATACAAAAAATAGCCGGGTGTAGTGGCTTATGCCTGTAGTCCCAGTTATTTGGCAAGCTGAGGCAGAAGGATCACCTGAACCCAGGAGGTCGAGGCTGCTGTGAGCCATGATCGCATCATTACCCTCCAGCCTGGATGACAGAATGAGATCCTGTTTCAAGAAAAAAGAAAAGAAAAGAACAGAAAAGAAAAGAAGGAGGGAGGGAGAGGGGGAGGGAGGGAGGAAGGGAGGGGAAAAAAAAGAGAATTCTCCAGCGAGAGTCACCAAAGAACATACTAAATGTCCCTTGGGCAGATCACCTTTCTGGACCTCAGTTTCTTTATCCATAGATTGAGATGATATGAGTCAGTGGTTTTGAACCAGGGTGACTTTGCTTCCTGGGGACATTTGGTATCATCTGGAGATGGAGGTTTTTGGGTTGTAACAATGAGAGGGAGTATGCAGTGCCTCTATCATCCACGGACACTGCTGATCAGCCTACAATGCACAGGCTCTGTGTGCCCCAACAAGCAAGTATTTGGTTTAAAATATCAATTGTGCCAAGGTTGAGAAACCCTGGAGTGGATGATTTCAAAGTTCTCTCCCACCTATAAGATTATCTTCCCTTTGGTGTATTAAAAACCCATGTGAACATGTATAATTGGGATCCCCGGGTTTTAATGGCAAGGCCCAAAATGTATTCCAGGTGCCAGGAAGGCGCCCTGATTCTGTGCCCATGCCCTGATCTCACCTTCCTAGCAAAGCAGACCCAGGGCCATCTGCTGCCATCGTATCTGTCACCCCAGGGTCAGCAGAACACCTATCATCATGGAAGGCATTCCCAGCTAGAGAAGCTTGGTGGGAAGTGGGGACAGAGGTATCACTTGTCACCGGGCTTTTCTAGCTACCAGGTTCCTCTCATTATCTGGTGAACTCTGTTCCTGTCTGTCAACATGCCTGTCAGGGGCCGAACTGCAATCTACCTTCCGTCTCACGTCTATTTCTTTCCTCTTCTGGGACTTAGGTCTGCCAGCTCTGAAGACTCACCTTCCCCGGCGGGGGGACTCAAGCTCTTCATCACTCCACCCCTCAGGCTCGGCTTCATAGTCCTAAAGAGATTTGAGCTGTGGGCTTTTCTTCCAGGATACAAATGCAAGGAAAGGCTTGATGTGCATATCAGTGGAACATCTGTGCCACTTCTCTTTCCTGCACCTATGGCAGACATCACTAATCACCACAAAACTTTTCCCCATTGAGCTGGAGCATGGCTAAACATGGCTGTCTACAAAGCCACTTCCAGTTGATAGAGTCGACATTCTGATTTTAACCAAGTCGCCATCCTATTCTCTGAACCATCCAAGTGAAGATAATAGGGGTTGGGAGAGATAATGAATGAAATGAAATTCTCAACTAGATTGTAAGTTCCTTGCGGGCAAGGGCAAGTTCTATCTCATTCACTTGTCTATCCCCAGTATACACAGGAGAGGCCCAATAAACATTTGTTGAATGAATGAAGAGCCTCCCAGTTTGTGGTCTCCCTGAGATGCATGCTCCCCACCTGGATCCCTAAAATTGGAATGGACTCCAATTCATAGCTTGCCATCTGGACTAATGCTGGGTAGAGTTATCCTGGGAAAGGAGAGATTTGAAAAAGCAAAGACAATATAGTGAGCTCTGTTCTCAGGTGTAAACGGGGAATGTAGGACTGATGCTTTCCTTTATTTCTAAAAGAGCGATAATGGCTGTGAGAGAGAGCTTTGAAAGAGTCTGGAACCTGTGTCACTTCCCCATGTTAATTTTTTTTTTTAATTATCCCTGTCTTGGTTCCCTGTGGTGATTTAAGGGCTTTAGGATTTTTTTTTTTTTTTTTTTTTTTTTTTTTTTTTTTTTTTTGAGACAGAGTCTCATTCTGTCGCCCGGACTGAAGTGCAGTGGCACGATCTCAGCTCACTGCAACTTCCGTCTCCCGGGTTCAAGTGATTCTCCTGCCTCAGCCTCCCGAGTAGCTGGGATTACAGGTGCCCGCCACTATGCCCAGCTAGTTTTTTGTATTTTTAGTAGAGATGGAGTTTCACCATGTTGGCCAGGCTGGTCTCCATCTCTTGACCTTGTGATCCACCTGCCTTGGCCTCCCAAAGTGCTGGGATTACAGGCATGAACCACTGCACCCAGCCAGAATTTTTAAGCTATCATTTATTGAGTGCTGTGTCCCATCAGCTTTGTAAACATTGACCCACTAGATGATCGCAATAGGTTGGTTCTCTTTTTAACCATTTCTTAGAAATCGAGGCACAGAGGGGTTAATTACATACCCATGATGCCCAACTAGGGGGTGACTAACTTCAGATTCATACCCAGGCCAGTGTGCCTCCAAAGCTGGTCTTCATAAAGCCCTTCAAACAGAGAGATTCTGCATGCTTGTGCTTGGTGGCCACAGGGTGGGAGGAGATTGTGCTCTGTCTCTCTGCCAAGTTTGAAGACAGAGAGACTCTGGGGGCGGGAGTGGCAATGGGAGAAGCTAAGGGAAGGTCTCTTCCCTGAGACCTTAGGCAAGGCAGAAACAAGTCCCATGAAATTGGCGTGGGTAGGAAACAGGTCCTGAGTATACAACTCTGCGAAACCCCTGAGGGGAGAAGCCCAGCTCAGAGGCCCGGGTGAGTCTAGCTCTGGTCCGCTGCCCACAATCCCCTAATCTCCTGCTGCACCATCTCCTGGTTGTCTCCCCCAACATTTGGGTGGCCAGATTTAGCAAATAAAAATACAGGATGGCCAGTTAACTTTGCAATTCAAATAACAACAACATTTTTTTTTTTAGTGTAAGTATGGCATATTTAGGACAAATACTAAAAATTTATTTGTTGTTTATCTGAAAGTCATATTTAATTAGCTATCTTGTATTTTATGCAGGAATTCTATCTACCATCCTTGGCCACCTCCCACACCATCCCCTGGTCTGCTGCCCTGCTATTCCCAGTGGAAATTCCTGGCCCCACATAGACCAAATTGCTGTGTCACATTCCCTGCCCAGAGCTGCACGGTGATCTTTACCTAGCTTAGTTTCTCCAGGAGCCCTCCTTGAAGCAAACAGTTACATCCCTGAGGACAGGACTGAGAGCATCCCACCCAGAGTCACTCAGATCCTCCTGGGGGTATTAGGTTCAGGCTCCCTGTGGTGGTGGTGGTGGTGGTGGTACGGGGGGTTCTGGATAGCAAAGTAAAGAAGCTAATGAGACAAGAAACCTTGCCTCATAGTTTGGAAAACTTCATCACTTCCCTGGGTCTGGGCCAAAGCAATCATTTTAAGGTGCTTGGAGCGGGAAAGGGGGACTGAGAGGAGGGTGGTTTGCTGCGGGTTTCTCCTCCCAGACTTGCCACCTGCAGACAGGATAGGTTAATGAGCTGTGGAAGCAGAATTCACCCAGGAAATGATGTGGGGCCACCCTACACCTGTTCCCAAAGGCTGTGGAGCTCCGGGCTTGGAATGAGTGAAATCTGAACACTCACTACCTATTTGGGGGCTCCCACTCCTCTCTTCAGACATAGAGAGATGGGAAAGGACTTGGCAGGAACCCATGGATTGAGGAGGATAGCAATGGGGGCGGAAAGAGGGAAGGAGAATTAGAGGAGCTGTGCTTTATCTGACTCCCCACATAGGTACACACACACACACACACACACACACACACACACACACACACACACACTGCACTTACAGCTCAGGAGCTGGGGAGCTGAGTTCTCATGCCTATTCTGTGGCTCATGGTGAGCCAGTTGCTTCCCTTGTCTAGGCCTCAGTTTGCTCATGTATACATTTTAGGAGAAGGGCTAGAATCTCTCGGGCCCTGCCTGCAAAGGTCCAGGAATTTGCTATCCCCACCCAAGTATGAACTCTCTGAGAGCAGGGGCTTGGCTTCAATCTCGTGGATGACTGGTCACCCAGAACCCAGCCAGCCTCAGGGAGGGTCCAGCAATGCTGGCTTCTGCTGCTGCTGCTGCTGTCCCTAGAGCTGAAGACTGGCCACAAAACCAGAGGCATTTCCTAATGTGTGAGCCTCTGCACTGGCAGAGGCTGCAGGGGGACCAGAAGCCTAAATTCCCAAGCAGGCAAATTACCCAGTGAGCACCCTGCACCCTAGTGCCTCAGGATCAGTCCAGGAGATGGGGCAGAGGAGGACACATCTGCCAGGTGGCTCCCAGGGTCCCACCCCCGAGTCATTCTCATACCCAGCGCCACTGTGAATGTCTTCCGCTTTAGCTTAATTAAGCCATCTGCCCACATTAAATGGTAAATTATCTCAATCACTCCCTGGATCCCAGAGGGGAGAAAGAGATGAAAGGGAAATGCCATCCCTTGAGTGGAGCTGGAGGACTCTGCCCCGCCTGTGATGACTTCTCCCTCAGCGAGGACAGCCTCCAGTGTTTACAAATCCTTCCGTGTCCTTGAAACTCTAACTCCACCTGTCATCTCTCTGCTTCTTTCTTTTCCTATAGGGAGGAGCGAGGCTCTTGCATGTCTGACCATGGGTAGGAATAAAGATGAGAGCTTTTCTGTTTTTCCTCTACCTTAGGGGTGCTTGAGTGTCTGTAATGTTGCTCTCTTCCAATAAGCCTGTTATTTTTTGCACCCCTGTCAGCTCTCAGTTCTGCTGAGGAAGCCCTGTGCTCCCAGTGAAGTGACCTGTGAACACCACTCTGCTCTGCAGGCATGTGGCCAGAGGCTGGAGGATGGAGGGATCTCATTACAGGCATCTGTGGGGTAAGTGGGTAGGTGTCTCCTAGGGTAGAAGCACCTTCTTCGAAGGGTTGCTGTGGACCAGGGGATGGCCCTCGCTTGGCTTTGCAGTTCCAGACATTGGATATATAAGCATGCTCATAGTTGTTCAGGTTCAAGAATCATTGACTTACAGTCACTAAATCCCTAAGAGACTGATGAACCTGAGTCCAGTAAAAAACTGGGGGACGTGACTTAAAAGAGATTGACTCACAATCACAAACTTCTAAGAGACTGAGTGTCTTAGTTCATTTTGTGTTGCTATAGCAGAATACCCAAGGCTAAGTAATTTATAAAGAAAAGAGGGTACATTTAGCTCATGGTTCTGCAGGCTGGGAGGTTCAAGAAGCATGGTGCTGGCATCTGCTTGGCTTCTGTGTGGGCTTTCCTACTGTGTTAAGACATGGTGGAAGATCAAAGGGGAAGTGGCCATGTGCAGAGAGGCAAATTTCAAGGAGTGTCCTTGTTCTATTAAAGCCCACTCTCAAGGGAGCATTCCTGTGAGAACTAGTTCAGTCTCACAGAGAGCAAGCACTGACTGCCACCAAACCATTTATAAGAGATCTGTCCCCACCTGTCACTGAGCCCCACTTCCCAAGACCACCACATTGGGGATCATTTTCAACATGCATTTTGGTGGGGTCAAACTCAAACCATAGCACTAAGGAGCCCAAGGTAAATGTAAAATGGTGACAATTCCTACCAAGTATTCCCTTTTTGGTATCAAGCTTACCCAGAAAACTAATAACCAGAAGATTGCTTACTGAGTTCAGAACAAAGAGACATTAGGTCAGGGGATAGGAAATTATGATTAGCTATGTCTGGTCCAGAGCCAGTTGTCTCTCTCAGTGGAACTGGAGACACACTAACTGGTCGTATTATTTGACTGCCCCTTTTCTGGACACCCAGCAGACCCAGATCTTCTAGTTGCCCTACACTTCCTTCAGTCAGACTGGGGACTACTGACTGGGCCCCAGCTCTCTTTAGCTACATTTAGTCCTGATGACTTTTTCTGGACTTAGATACTTCTCAGTCTCTTCATTATGCATTTATAAAGCATCATTTAGAGTGGGTCTTTTCTAGGTATGGCTAATGCTTAGCTGTTGTACTTTCTTGAAAATGACTGAAGTCCCAGGTTCTGTCAATCTCTTTCTGTAGCTCCCTAGCTACACAGTTATTTTAAAGAATCATAAGTCATGCCCCTGGATCTCAGACAGACTTCGTATGCTGTTTCAGGGCACATTGGGCTTCTGCTGAAGCATCACTCAATGGAGCCACTTGCTAACTGTGTTACTTTGGGAACAACACTAAGCCTCCATGAGCCTTGGTTCCCTTGGGATAAAATGGGGATATTAATGATGATCTCACAGGGATACAAAGATCAAGGGAAATGGTCAAGTGTTATATCTTGATCATGTATCAAAATGGGCTGTGATCTCCTTACAGTGACTGTCATCAGTCAGGAGCCTCAAGGGATGCTTTCCCAGACAGAAATGGTCTTGGGAATATGCTTAATTTGTTTATTCATGAAACATTTATCAAGCACCTACTGTGTGACAAGCATGGCACTTGCAGTGATAGAATAAATTTTCTTAAATGCTGAAATAATTACTTTACCATGAGAGGTGAGGATAGTACATTGACAACTAATATGGGGAACTTATTGTGTTCCAGACAGGGAACTAATTGCAGATATCATTTTATTGAATTCACACAATAGTCAAATGAGGTAGACACTTTTACTATGCCCACTTTGCAGATTAGCACACTGAGCTAATCAAATTCTTTAAGGTCAGACAGCTTGTATGTGGTATAATTAGAACCCTGATCTGAGTGGCTGCAAAGATCATGCTCTCAACTAAACTCCAGAGAGGGATAGATTACAAGTGCAAAATCGAGATTGGTACAGACTAGACCCTCTTGCACGGTGTGTGTGTGATTTTCTTGCATGGTTATTAAATGTAATGTGTTGTATTCAAACATGACTGTGAGTTTAAGGCTACAATGTTTGGGTGGGTAAAAGGAGGATCTGCTTCAATAGGGTGAATAGTGAAGAAAGAGCCCATAATGGAGACAAAGAGGATTATCAGACTAGAATTCAGGAGGCAGAGGGAATTCCCCATGTAGGTGTGGCCTCCTGGAACGTTAAGTGCAAAGGCAGCATCCACCACTTTGAGGTAAGCAGGAATCAGGAAGTGGGGAAGGGGTGGTAGGTCAGGGAGACCTGCCATCTCTCTTAATAAAATCCCAGACCTCCGAAACCAGCATATAAGGAGACCTGGGCCTCACTGCATCCAACCCAGGGATTCAGACTCCCCTCAGGGATGTTGACAATGCTGCCTCTCTCATGGGGCCTCACATCTAAAGGTCCAGCCCTTGTGTCTAAAGGACAAAAGATTGTCTTTAAAGCCTATTGCTGAGCGGGTAGGGTGTCTTGAAGTCATGTTCTATGGTCATATTCTATTGCCTGCATTTAGTTTTTCTCTGTTATTCCTAAGCCTTTAGTCAAGTCTCATGTAACTGGCCCAGCCTGATTTCACCAGACAAAAGGAAAGGTCTTGTGTTCAGGCTCTAATGGGAGCATTAAAGAGATTGCAGGCTCCCTTCAGCTTTGTGGAGAGAATGTATTCCAGGTTAGGGTGTCATCTGCATCCTTATCAGGAGATGTGCTGGAATGGCCTTGTCACCACAGGACTGCCATGAAGCCTGTGAAGTTCATGGAATCAGTTTAAGGCCCCAACCCACCCTCAGGCCCCGGCAGCGGATGCCCTGCTCTCAGATTCCCATAATGGTTCCAGGTGGTGACCATTACCCAGTACCACACTTTCCAGACTGTGCTCATCTCAGGGGCCAGCCTGACAAACTCATCCCTAGAGTTTGTCAAGAATGCAGAGCCTCAAGCCTACTCCAGACCTCCTGAATCAGAATCTGCATGTTAACAGAGCTCAAATGATTCAGAAGCACATGGAAGTTTGAGAAGCACAGATCCAGGGCAGGGGCTCTTAATCTGGGCCCATGAGCTCAATGGGGGAAAAAATAGTATTACATCTTTATTTTTTTATTTTTATTTTTATTTATTTATTCATTTATTTTGAGACAGAGTCTTGCTCTCTTGCCAGGCTGGAGTGCAGTGCCACTATCTCGGCTCACTGCAACATCTGCCTCCTGGGTTCAAGTGATTCTCCTATCTCAGCCTCCCAAGTAGCTGGGACTACAGACACGCACCACCACGCCCAGCCAATTTTTGTATTTTTAATAGAGATGGGGTTTCACCATGTTGGCCAGGATGATCTCGATCTCCTGACTTCATGATCCGCCTGCCTCGGCTTCCCAAAGTGCTGGGATTACAGGCGTGAGGCACTGCACCTGCCCACATCTTTATTTTTACCAATCACTAACCAAACATTAGGATTTCCTTCCATTTTGGATGTAGGTTGCAAATCACAGAAGTGTGTGCGATACTTGTGGCTTTGTCACCAATAGAAATCATGGATATTTTTGTAACACATTACAGTTGTTTTAGACATCTCAAAATAGCATATATGTTCACCACTACTTCAAAATAACAATAGCTATTAGATCTGAAGTTATATTACACAATATAATATAATAGTAACCAAACTTATGTTATTATATCACAAAACTTGAAAAATATTTTTGGTAAGGATTTCAAAGGACTTGACTTCCCTTATTATCCCATGTGTTTTATTTTCTGCATTAGAAACTTTATTCTGAGAAGGGCTCACCAAGTTGCTGAGGGATCCATTACACTAAAAAGGCAAAGAACCTGTGCTCTAAGAAGCACAGCAGGGCCAGAATAGTGTTTGGAGAATTTAAGACATGTGGGGCGAGCATAACTCAATCTGGAAAGCCCCAGAAGTCACATGCCCCCACAGACAGGCAGCCTTCAGAGCAGACCTGACTGGCAGCTAGTGGTCTGCTTCGATGGCTTCTTCATTCTCCCTTCATTAAAAAGTGGGTTTGATAAGGCCCGTGCTAAGGAATAAAACCAAGATTCCAGGTAGGGAATATTGCTCTTGTCAGCCTAGCAAGAAAATCAGGGACCCAACTGAAAGAGTATCAAAGATTGTTCCTTTTATCAGCCCCTCTCTATTTCCCTGCAGTGATCCACAGAAAAACACTTAAAAGGAAAATCACCTGTGTGCCTGTCTTTAGGGGCAGAAAGGAAGGAGCCAGTAGGGACACCAGCTCCCTTTGCAGCCAGAGGGGTGAGGAGAGTCCTGGGGAATGAGAGTGGGTGGTGGTAGCTTTAAAAAGAAGATCCTGGCCAGGAGCAGTGGCTCATGCCTGTAATCCCAGCACTCTGGGAGGCTGAGGCGGGTGGATCACCTCAGGTCAGGAGATTGAGACTAGCCTGGCCAACATGGTGAAACCCCATCTCTACTAAAAGTAAAAAAATATTAGCTGAATGTGGTGGCGCACCTGTAATAATCCCAGCTACTGGGAGGCTGAGGCAGGAGAATCACTTGAACCTGGGAGGTGGAGGTTGCAGTGAGCTGAGATCGTGCCACTGCACTGCACTCCAGCTTGGGTGACAGAGCGAGACTCCATCTCAAAAAAAAAAAAAAAAAGAAAGAAAGAAAAGAAAAGAAAACAAATCCCTTTACACAGTGTTAGGCATAAGTAAAACATAAATAAATAAAAATAAAAAGGAGATCCCATGGTGGGGGAGCAGCATCCCTAGGCCTGAGGGAATGGTGGGGGTGTCTGGGTGAGATGTGACCCTGAGGCCAACAGCAGGCCTGAGCTGGTTGGTCCCCAGAATTCTCTTGAGGAGGGGGAAGTGGCCACTCCTAAAAAAAGCTCCTCTGGCAAGAGTGTAATGGAAAGGATATTAAGATCAGGGGTCAGTGCTTCTCCCTGGGTCCTCAGCTGGAGGCAGGGCGGGCACAATGAACCATTCCAGGAGCTGGGATGGACCAACAGCCCTGTGCTCATTGAGGGCCTTGAAAACATGGTCCTAT